CTGACATGACGAGAATGGTCTAACCAGACACAGGTTCAGAAAGAGGGAAGGACGGACAAGAACAATAGTAAGATCATGCAGCTAATTAGTGAAGCATGACACATCCTGATTCACTATTATTTACCTGTACGGCCTTTCCTGCCTATGAAGTTGGCTGTAGAAATTCACATTGTTTAGCCATGGCATTGCGTGTGCTCACATACTACCTTTGTACCAAGTGATTATGGATTTAGAATGTCATCACTTTTGCAGGAAGGCACACGTAGTCAATCTCTCGTCCTTCATAGGTTGCCATTTCACTTTTTTCTACATTTGATTATGTTTGTTGAAATTGAGGCTGGCACTGCTATCACTGGACAAGCTCTGCCAGAAGGGAGTTTGATCCTGTGTCACAGGTTGTGCACTGGCCCTGAGAAGCCAATAGTTATCATGTGTCAGGGCTGTTCCCCATTCTGGTACTCTGAGTGCAGAAGATGACCTTAAATACCTTGTCTCTATAGGCTCTCCTTACCAAAACTCCCCAGAGTCACAGATTCACAGACTTTTTGCAGGGAAGCCGCCATCACCAAGTGAAATAAAAGAAGAACCCCTTTCTTCTTTTACCCACTTGGACTTCTTCCAGGGAGGTTATCCCCAAGCTCCTTTACCACAAGAGAACTTGAAAACAAAGAGAAAACAACTTCAGTCTCTGGTGGCTGACCTTTTAGTCTGAGGCATGCATACACACAGAGACAGACCTCCTGTTTCTTTTCAGGACGCAAGACAAAAAATCATCACCTTAAAAAAGGTGATTTTAATAACAAAACAAAAAGATATACCTTGATAAAGCATACTTAATTGCTAGGTGTTACAGAGCAACAGAGTAAAACAAATTAAAACACAGAGAACATCTCTGGGTATGCTCTTAGACAGTGAATGTGGGAGGGAAGGCACAGATTCACAGAGTTTAACCATACAACCAAAACGAAGGAAAATACCCTGATTGCAACTGAATACACCTTTTCTCTCTACTCACAATCCATGCTGATCCTTACTTCAAGACCCAGTTCACTCCCATGTCCAGTATTTCTTATAGACATGGTAATTCTGATTGCTGTATCTGTTCCCTCCAGCCCTTAACTTAGAAGTCTCTTTCAAGGACAGCAGGCAAGGTATCTAAATACAGTTCACTTTTCAGTACTGTATCCTCATTGGTTCTTCTGGTTCCCTGCCAATACCCTTGCTAGTTACCTTAGTTTAACCCGTTAGTTACTGGGTGCTGGCCAGCACTCTCCTATCCATTACACCATGTATCTCACAAACCTAACAATCGTCCACTACTAGTCAGCCACAGGCTGTTCAGAACTCAGATATCCAGCTCTGCATTGGATAAGGAAAAGGAGAAAATAAAGACTTGGCAGGTGCTAGTGCACAGTCTAATTGTGCACAGATGTAGATGTGTGTAAGACTGGAGAAGAGGGATCTGGATCCTTCTCTCTCTCCCTCCCCAGAAAGAAGTAGCTCAGCACAGCTGGTTGTAAATGTAGTGACCCAAAGCCTGAAGATACTTTTAGTACTGAGCAGGCAGACATAACTCTTGGACTTGTTTGGGTGAAGATGTAATTGACAGCCACCTCTGTGTTCAGCTAACTTTCCCCTCTGAACGTTCTTGTGTAGGAAATAGAATGCTATTAGTGTTCTGTGTGTGGGCATAGGGCCAGCTTTCTCTATATGGCCATATGGGTGCCATCACATTATGCTCCATTCTGATTCCCAAACACTTGGGATGTCCTAGTTTGGGAATAAAGTGGAGAGATCTTGGGCCTCTGAGAGACTCCACAGCATGAGCTTCCATTCCCAAACCTTCCGACGCCAATTAAAATCCAAACTGTTTTCAATTGGTCTGTTATAATAAAAATTGAAGGTGAGGAATCACAGCTGAAGAATATTCTGCGCTCCACTAATTCAGCACTATATTAACTACAATGGCATTATGGCAAGTGGGAATAAATAGAAAACAATTAAAGGCTTTTAGTAGAGTAATATATCGGAAGCCATGTGGTAGCCCATTGCTGTGCTAATGTCAGGAGCAGTACTGAATGCTATGCTCTCTCCAAGTGTAAATGCTGACTTGGTTTTGCATCTGATTACCAGGGGATGAAATTCTAGACGTTAATGGAGAATCTTTACAAGGGCTGACCCATCAAGAGGCCATTCAGACATTTAAGGTAACAGAATTATAGATGCAGTAAGAGAGAGACTGTACTTCTCATTGCTTAGTACAATTCAACACCATTATTTTGTTTTCTGCTGCTGTACATGATTGTATGCATTATTCGCTAGAAGATGCATTACTGTGCATCAGGTGACTATGTAATCTAATAAGTTGTCTTGGGTTTTTAGCAACTCAAGAAAGGTGTAGTGACCCTCACCGTGCGCACGAGGCTGCGTAGTCCGAGCCTTACCCCGTGTCCAACTCCCACATTACTGAGCAGATCAAGCTCCCCAAGCTCGAGTGCCAGCGGAGGAACTCCTGCACCTGGCTCAGATGATGGAGATGCGTCTTCCTTGTGTCGCAAAGGCCCAGGACCAAAGGACAGGATCGTCATGGACGTGACACTTAACAAAGGTTACAGAAAGCTTATTATGGCTCAGCTGGTTAAACTAACTTGGAAAATGGCTGTTATCCACCTGTATGTGTTTTCCAGTGAATTCCTAGTACACAGGCTAACACACTCGTCCTAACATATGTTCCCACACAAATCTCCTCTGGTGGTTCTTCTGTCTGCAAGCCACAAAATGTCTGAAAACTCCTCCTATGATGCATCATATGCAAGAGTCCTTTGAAACATTTCACCTTTTTGATCTACAAACACAAGCTTAGGGGTCTTACGAGGAGAAGGACTTGTGCTACTGGGGTGGGGAGATTGTGGGATGGGCCAGGTGCGGCAGTGGTGAGGGGCTAATCTATCTGTCAGAGGTTTCTCTATACTTACTATTCCCATAAAATCTAAATGTCCATGGTCCTTTCATGAACCTCCACAGAGCTATCACTTAAGCCAGGCAGCACACTCAGAATGTGCTGTCTAGTTAATGCATGATGTTTTCAGTGGTTACAGACCATAGCACATGGTAAATTTTCAGTGCAGCATCTGAGGAGCAGTGATGGATGCATCTCAGAAGATTCAGAGCTTCAGATGAAAACCTAAAAAAGGTCTAGAGAGAAAGTTCCTGAAAAAGCATCCTTAGTGAGATTTTGTATAATTACTACTTCTGTTAGGGTTCTAGCTCATTAGTGGAGAGGGAGAAAAAGTGAAGATTAATGGGGAAATGAATGGATTCCCTGAAGTCTCAAGGGGTAGCCATGTTAATCTAAATCTGCAAAAACAATGAAGAGTACTATGGCACCTTAGATTCTAACAGATTCACGAGGGCATAAACTTTCATAGGCAAAACCCACTTCAACTGTGGAGTTGGAGTGAACCCCTGAAAACATTCTTGTTCCTCAATGAACTTCAGGTCCTTTCATGTCAGACCTTAGGTACAGATACTTAAACCACATAGAATTTCACCTAAGGGAATGAGAAACATGGTTAAATTGACTTTTTTGCTGACATTTCCCAGAAGTCCTCTAAACATACCATTTATATTTTATTACACACACTACGATGTTGCATCTGGAGACAAAGCAGATGCCACATTACGTTCCTGATGCTAAAGAGGTATTTTACAGACACACACTACAAAGCAATTTGTGACTGAAATGTGGTTGTCAGGGTGACTAGGGTTGATCATGGGTGAGGCTCAAGTTTGTCCTCTCATTCATAACCCTTCTAAACCCAATTAAGAATAAATATTTTCTCTTCTAATTGCAGAGTGGTTTTTGCTTCCTGAATGGCATCCCAAAGGCCAGCTCTGAAACAATGCACTATTCCTGGTTATCAGTGTGATTGGATAACATAAACACTTGTGTGTCCTGTGTGATTACAATCAAAAGAGACTAAACAGTTTTTCCTCTTTGTTTTTCACAGAGCCAGGGGTTGGGTTAGGCATTGGTGCCTGTTGTCTCACACTGGAAAATAGCTCTCCAGGAATATACATTCACAGTCTGGCCCCAGGATCAGTGGCTAAAATGGATGGCAGATTAAGGTGAGTTGTGAAAGCAAAAACATGCTGGTGCACTTTTTCAACTTAATGTTGAAATCTGCCTGAAGACTCATTTTCATCAATGAGGTAAAATCCATTGCAATTGGGTTGGTTTGTTTGTTTTGATGAATGACTTAAATAATCACAGTAATATTAATAAGAATATGCAAGTTAAAAATTACAAAGGGTTATTTAAAGATACTTGAAAACATTTCACAACTTTCATGTATATTATTATGGACAGTTCCATGGTCCCAGTAATGGCTGTTTTAATGATTCCAAGAAGCAACACGACCTAATGATGTATGTACACCCTGGAACCAACAGGAAATGAAACTTGTGTCAAGTGTCAAAGCCAAAATGAATCAGCAGGAGATTTCCGCAGCTCTGTTACAGTTTAGTCACCTGAAACTTTCTTGAAAAGAGCTATGGGAATTTCCTGCAGCTCATTGCATCTCTGGCTGCAGCACTAGATTAAGGGACCGGAAATTATTTTATATTCTATTCCAGGTTTCCTTTTTTGGCTTAAGAGCCCTTGCGTGAAACTACAACAATGTCCTTCCTGCCACTTCACTCCTGCCTAGCTGATTCAGCTTGGGTGGAACGTTTATCCCTGGTGCCTATGTGCATGCATATGCCATGGCGAATGACTCTGTACCAGTCCCATGGAGATGGGCCAAGACTGAGGCCACAGGACTCACAGTGATATTAATACTGCAGACTCACACAGAGGGGTGCTGCAGGCCTGCCAGCTGCCCTAGGTCAGCGTGAAGAGAGAAATTCATCAGCTCCATCTCTCTGCACTCTATGGCTAGGTTTACATTATAGGGTTTTTTCGGAAAAAGCTACGCAAATTGTGCTCCGCAATTTGCGTAGCTTTTTCCGATTGCTTTTCCAGAAGAGGCTATTCTGGCATTTGGCCCAGTCTAGATGGGGACAAATGGCAGATAAGCCTCTTCTTTCAGCAGAGCTCTTATCCCTCGCACCCAAAAGAGTGCGTTTGCTCTTCCGCAAAAAAAAGCGAAAGAGCACACGTGTTCCTTGGATGTGGCGGAGTTTTTCCGGGGTACCTCAGGTATCCCGGAGAAGCCCTGCAGTGTAGATGTACCCTATGTCAATAAACCTAAATATTCCTGTTAAGTGGGTGGAGTGGTTTTCACCTATTATGAAGACCTTGAACAAGCAGCTTGCTCCTGGGATAAAAGGGAAGATAATTCATTGGTGATAGTCCTTCATATTTATTACCAGAAAGCAATATATTTTTCCAGATTATATTTTAATATTAGTTTGTTTTCCATCATTTATTAAGGCAAGTGGTCAGTGGTGCAAGTAAATAAAAGTTATCAGAATGGGAAGGAGAGGGCCATGTGCCCCCCGCCCACATGATTCCATCCTGACCCCAGCCTTCAACCCCCACACTCTTCCTCTCCCCAAACTTTCCCTCCCCATCCTGTGTTAGCTGGGGGGGAGAGAGGGCTTGGGGCAATACAACAAACAGAGGAGGAAGGAGTAGAACCACCCCCTGCACTGAGCTGCCGCATCTGCGTATAATAGGACAGGGGAGAG